TCCCCCCTTCCCCTTTTCTCCTCCTACGCTCTCTTTATCCCCCCGGCTTTTCGTGTCATCCGTCCCTCCCTCACTCCTTCATCTGGCACTAAAAATGGCCGCCGGCAGCCAGCGATGTTCAGTAATAAAGTAGAACAACTTTAAGTACTGTACTTAAGTACCAAAATGCAGTATCTCGACTTTATTGGAGTATAGGTTTTTTCCCCTACTTTTACTTTTACTCCACTACATATTTTTGATTAATTTGATACTTCTACTTTTAATTTCCCGAGCTGAATCGTTACTCGTTACTGAAATGTAAACGTAATGATAGATAGCTCTGTCAGGGTTTGGGAAGCTGGCTCCTCATTGGGCGATTTGAGCCCAATGAGGAGCCTATTAAAAAAAATGCCTCCCAAAAGATTGCAAAATCATGGCCTTCAAAAATTCCCCATCTAATCTGAAGAAGCATATCAAGGTAAGTTAAAAAATACAATGACTTATAAGCTAGTAACTAAGCGCTAGTTCAGTTCTCCCTGTTCACTCAGGACGTAGCAGCTAACATTAGCTAAAGCTAACCTAGCTGGCTAGCTGTATGATAACGTTAGCTAAAGCTAACCTAGCTGGCTAGCTGTAAATTAAAAAAATACAATGACATATAAGCTAGTAAGTAAGCGCTAGTTCAGTTCTCCCTGTTCACTCAGGACGTAGCAGCTAACATTAGCTAAAGCTAACCTAGCTGGCTAGCTGTATGCTAACGTTAGCTAAAGCTAACTTAGCTGGCTAGCTGTATGCTACATGCTAGCATAAAGGCTCAGCTCAGGATTCTGACACTGGAATAATAAATAATATTCGATGAAAATCTGTTGATTGCTAATGCAGATGTAGTTTTCTGTTTTTTGTAAACACCTGTATGGCCTTTCACACGTTTAAAATAATATAAACAATATCACACACATATCTATCACACTTTTGACTGCCTTTTTTTAATATAAGCAGTACTTGTACTTTCACTTATACTTGTACTTTTGATACTTGAGTAGCAATTTTTTAAATACTTCTACTTGCAATACTTAAGGACAAAAAAATTGAGTACTTCAGTACTTCCACTTAAGTATGGAGTTGAAAGAACACTTCTACTTTTACTCAAGTCAATTCTTCTATATAGTACTTGTACTTCTACTCCTCTCCTCTACTCCAGTACTTTATACATCTCTGCCGGCAGGTGAAAGCAGCCACATAGTGTCAGATACCAGCCAAAAAAACGGCCAAAAACACGCCCTATCTCACAAACCTGAGGAGCACATCTGGATCTTTGCTGATTTTGGTGGGAATTGTTGGGTTTCTGTAGTTAACTTCAGAGTAGGGTCTGACCTGCTCTGTTTGGAAAGCTGTGAGACAACTGTTGTTGTGATGTGGCGCTATATAAATAAAATTGAATTGAATTGAATTGAATTTTTAAAGCCGAGAGCTGCCAGAGGGCCTGAAGGTCCTTAGACAGCTCTCTCTCTCTGAAGTGCTCTTCCTTTAATATGCAGCAGTGTTGCTAATCAAATTAATCTTCCACATGTTCACCCAGATGTTTTCCAGCTGTCACGACCTTTCCAAAGCCTTTGGTCGCCTTCTGATCAATGGGGAGTTGGTTTTGGGGGCCAATTGTAAATATATATGTCCAAGTGTTTATGTTTATGCATTATGCATTTCGCTTTTATCCAAAGCGACTTTGTACGCTAGCATCAGGGACTTGAATTTGATACGGGCAGCCAGAGGTAACCAGTGGAGTTCAATGAACAGAGGGGATAAAATAGTGCTGATAAAATACAAGATCTGAGATCTTTCTTCTTATATTTCACAGTGTTCTAATTTTCCATTTCTACCAGCCGGGTTTGGAGAAACAAGAAACAAACCTTTCGAGGAGATTAAATCTGAGTGCTAAACGACCAGAAGCTTAGCTGTAACGGCCCGTTTTTCCTCATTAACGTCGTCACTGATGGTCAAACTGCTCTTCAGCCCAGCTGCTCCTCAACGGGAGGATTACCGGAATATTCCTATTTGTTTGGGACTTCTCTGATAAAAGCCTCTATGATAATTCGCTCTTTACGTGGTTCTATTCGATTTGCGACATAAAGAAAAAATAACCAGATTCTGCTCCTCTTGTTTCGCTCTGCAGTTATTCTACTGTCGGGTCATTTTTCGCTCGATTTTATTCTGCTTTCGGGTCATTTTTCGCGCGATTTTATTCTGCTTTCGGGTCATTTTTCGCTCGATTTTCCACGGCCTCTTTGACTTTACGCCATGAAATATTGAGTCACCAATTATGCTCATCGGGAGGATTACCGGAATATTCCTATTTGTTTGGGACTTCTCTGATAAAAGCCTCTATGATGATTCGCTCTTTACGTGGTTCTATTCGATTTTGCGACATAAAGGAAAAATAAC